CCGAGGATATCATTAAACCGGCTGGACTTTGTCGAATCTGTCCGTGTGACGGTGACGATATCACAGTCCGAGACGCCAAGATGATGGGATGGGATGCGATTCGCCGGTGGGTAGAGTATGAGAGTTTGAGTATGGTATCGTGATGGGAGTGGACGGTTGGGAGGGAGTAAGAGGAGTTTGTTGAATGAGGAGTGGAGGGGAGGAGGGGTGGAGGGCGCGCCCTGAGCTGATTATGAAATATTTTTGAGGGGTTGATACCATGGGAGAGATAGCGCTGGATTTGTTTGCAGATTATGTAGCCTTGAAGTGTTTTAGCATCGAGTTTAGGTGATTTCGAGCTGTCTTTGCCAGAAATGTGAATTGTTTGAAGAACGTCCATTCATCCATCAAATTCTCCAGATCGAGATGCGACCACTGGTAAAAATGGCAAGTAAGGCAATGTCAAACTTGAGTTTCGACAACTATGTCCTTGATAGCAAATGCCGGCAAGGCTCTGCCCTTCATCACGACAATACCACTTTTATAGTGCTTGTGCAACACCCAACAAAAAGCAAAGTCAGCATCATCTTGTTTATGTCACCCTCTCTCGGTTTGGCAAAAAAAAAGACAGCTCCAGACCACAGATAAGAAGGATCCAGTGGCGTGCCCTGGCCCCCTCCTTCAGCAACAGCGGGCCGAAAGAATGGGTGTGGTGGGCTGCAAAAAGGGGGTCTCTATGGCTTGCTATGTAGGTTGGCAAGCACATCATAGGTACATCGGATACCAACCAACCAGGTCTTATCATCAACGTGGGAGAAAGAGCGATAAGTGTAAACAGCCAACCGCACCGAGGCCAAGTAATGTTCGGCAGTTTTTGAAGCAAGCAGCGTCCTGTGATCTTGTTGCATACAATACCTATCTGATCTTGAGCAGTTGTTGACAAACTAAGATCTTGTTTACTTGACCGCTGACATGAGGACTAAGTATCACCAAGGAAGGTCGAAACTGCCGAGATCTCTCAACATTCTCACCTACCTAATGTACAGACCTTCACACTGCATTGTGCTGTAGTTATGGGAATGTGTTGTGTCGCTTTCAAGCGCCATCCCCTCATTTGTCTGATCTGTCTCATGACCGTCACCGTCACAGCCATCACACAGAAATCCAGCCTCGTTTTCCCCTGAAAAGAGCACAGACGGAAGTTCGGCAGCGAGAAGAAAAGGGGGGGGAAACCCGACAGTTTGGTTTTGCCGCTTTGATTGGGAATTTCCCCAAGGTGGTGCATGTTCTATTGGGCGGGATGGGGGGATTGGGGAGGGGGGAACCAACAGATGGATAACCAAGGAAAATCAATCTATTTGACAGTGTGCGGTGGTTGATGCGCTGCATGCATGATGATGGAGCTGCGGATGATGAATGGCTTGCTTTGGTGGGGATGGGATAGGTACTGTAGGGAAAAGGTGAGATGATGCACAAGAGGAGACGGAGACACAGATTGTCATTACCAGCACAACACAGCAGATGTCAGTTGATGTCATGTTGCTGGGCCCGAGAGATGCGCGGGCCCAAGAGATGCACGGGCCTGCCAGTGGGTGAATGGATGGCCAAGTGGATTGGTGGTGAAGTGCTCACCGGATTGAGAGAATGTGTGAGAGAGATGGTTGGGTTCTTGGGGGCCAAAGTTTATCAAGAGAGAACAACTTTCAGCTGGTTCCCTATCGGGAAAAGAGTGGGCCACGGGTAAAAGAGCGGTTTGCCAATCACGACGGGCGGGTTGGTTGAACTCGCAGGGGCCCTTGCATGGGCAGTGACCACTTCTGGGCTGTGAATGGTCAATGCTGCTGAGCACATGCATTGCTAGCGTGCGACCTTGGGACGGCACAGCGGCTTTGGCATTTCTGAGAGAGTGACGATCACTCTGTGAGCATTTTCAAACGGTGCAAGACAACCCCCAATCACACCAACCATGGAGGTTGAACCCCCGCCCGCCACCATGGGCCACCCTTTTAATGCGTTGAACAGGACCCCGGAGGTGGTTGACGGCTGAGTCTGATGAGTGGGAGGTGTGTCCAGCTCGGTGGCTGCTGTCTGTGTTTGTGCTCTTGTTTCCCTTCACCAACAACAATCCAAGTCTCGTCACTGTCACATCTGCAAAAGCACAAGCTTCCAGTCTCTTTTCCTCCAGGGACCCATCCAGACAAAAGTGCGCGCTTAACCTGACATCCCGAAGATCGAAGCGCGTTTCTCCTCTGTTTTACTCTATAATACCGTCATCGTGCCACCAGGAAAGAAGAGAGGCAGGTCGGAATGTCACACAGAAAATCTGGCCGGCAATAAACGTCTATTCTTCCCGTTCCTAGCTGCTGCTGCATCCTCCCCGCACAGCACCGCATAATACCCAGTACCCGAAAGGAATAACGAAGGACGAAAGACGGCAGAACCCAGCGAGCGGTTCATTTCTGCAACTGCAACCAAACCACATAAACCACATAAACTCAGACGCCACGCATCACCACAGGTCAGAGATCATCCTCACTGCTCCTCCAACCGTGCGCGTGGAGGAGGGCTACCAGAGGCAGGATGCCGTCCACTGCTGCTCGCCTTGCCCTCGCGGCTCTGGTGACAGCAACGACCTCACCGCTGGCCGCCAACGCTCTGCTGGGCACACCTGGATCACCATGCGAGAAGCACTGCAGCAACCAGCAGGACCACACGGCGCGGGATGAGATTGTTTGTGATAGGGGCAGCATAGGGAAGACAGCGGCTGGGATAGTATGGGAGAACTGCATCAATTGTCAGCTGAGGAGCAACTACACATCTGGGACCATGTCGGATCAGGCTGCTTTGCTTTGTACGTCTCCTCCGTTTTCCTTCTCACCAACATGCCTATATGGCAAGACTGATATTAACAAATCTTAGACAACCTTCGATTTGCCATGGACACCTGCCTATGGCATAGTGGCGACAGCACACCATGCACCGGATCGTAAGTCAACAACCCCCCTCCCCCCTAAGTGTGCCTGGGCTTTGCCCGGCAGCCACGCCGCAATCCTCCCGTATGCCTCCGTGCTGACAGCGCCTCAGGACAGCATGTGGTCCGCTGGAAGATGCCGTGGAGTTTCGCAGGAATGACACTTCCGGCCGAACCCCACACGGCTTCTGTGACCTATGGGAAGAGAACTTTATTCCTCGATGCTCACCATGCCTAGTTGGTGAACAGCGAGGTCGCGGCCTCTTCCTCAACAACTACCTCTGGATCCTCGAGGCTGCTTGCGAACAGAAACCAGATCCAGGATATACCATCGCCATCCAAGGCGAAGTCTTTGGTGAAAACACCGTCACCATCGTTCCACCAGAAACCACCCTCGTCGGCGTCCCAACACCAGATTATGGCCCTGTCTCCCTCGGCGCTAGGGTGGGCATCGCCTTTGGTGGCATTGCGCTTCTTCTTGTTCTGGCCGGCTTCTTCATTGTCTGCAATGGCAAGAGAAGAAGACGGGCTTTTTTAAGGGAGCTGGAAAAGCGCCACGCGCAAGCAAACCACAGGTATGGTGGCGGAGGAGGTGACATGTTTGAGACACCGGTTAGTCAGCGACCACTTAGGGGGTGGGAGAATGAGAGCCCTGTCTCTGCAGCCACCGAGGCGACGGAACGGACACTACCGCGATATATCTCGCCATACACGAGCACCTACAACAGCCCCGTTTCTGGACCAGGAGGGTCGGCGACGGTAGCGGCAAACTGGCCGTCGTTGTCACCACAGCAGATGCACAGCCAACGACTGGATCAATTATTACAGCAGCAGTCACCTGCGCACGGGTCCCCGCCACCGGCTTTTACACAATGGCCTTCGGTTGGGCAGGAGAAGATGGTTATGCAGACGTATACGCAGCACGAGAAGCGACAGAATGAGATTGCCATCGGGCTTGCGCTGGGAGGGGATGAGGCGAGCTTGAGGAGCAAGCCGTCGAATGGGACGATGAATAATGATCGGTATGGGTACCCGGTGGAGGACAAGGGGAAGCAGAGGGATGAGGTGTATGAGTTGAAGGAGGTGGAAAGTCCGTATAATGGGCAGGGTGGGGAGGGGATGGTGCATGGGAGTAATAATCCTTATTATCAGATGCCGAGCCCACCACAGGCACCGGTGCTGCACCACCCTGGTTATGGGAGAGCACATGGGAGTCGGCCTGGGTCAGGGGATAAGGGGGCGACAGGCTTGGGGTTGCAGAGTGTGCCTGTCTCATGATGGAGAGAGCGGGGGTGTTTTTGTTGGTTTTGGTTTTGAACTGCTTTGAGCTATAATACCCGCCCCCTGAGACGATAGGGTGCATTTGGAGTTGGGTTTTGAGATGACGGGTTTTTTGTTGGGGTCTTGGATAGTGTATAAGGTTGGATATGGGTATATATTTGCAAGAAAGGGGTCGGTACCTCTTCCCTGGGATGAGTAGACAGGAGATACTACCAGGTATTATGAAGGTGCTCCAGATGATGCTGTCTGTAGAGTTTAGCCACGATATTATCACATCACAGTTGCCACTTCTCAACCAAACTGCCCATCTTCATGCACCCACAGGATGTGATTAGACTGGTAGTCACACAGAGGTCTTCAGGGGGTGTCAAGACAAGGCCATGCTCCAGATGCCGGATTCTGTTGTCGAGTCGCTGGCCAGTGTCTAACAACAGTGACAATTGATGGGCCCGAGCTTCTCTCAACACCGGATATCTGCATATCTACTCACGATAACAGGGCTCGAAGCCACGCCATGCCTCATCAAGTTAGCGCACTCCCGCCAAGCCAGACAGTTCCCCACATTATCTTTTTTGGCCTTCGTAAGAAAAATTTTGGAGAGCTTCACTCTGAGCTGCTTGCTTTCTCTCGATCGCTTCATCTCGACCAACACCACGGTGGACAAATCGTGCGGCTCCTGAAGACCCTCCCTCTACCAGACAGCCGTCCGAATCGTGAGCCCTTTTATTCACGGACCACCCATATCACCACTGTTTTCTTTTTCTCAATTCACCTGTCCCCAAGTCGCAAATCCAGCGCGTCTAGAAAACAGATACCCGACTGACATTAGTCCCCGCTACTTCGTCACCAACAACAACAACCAAAACAACAACAACACCGATCGCGAGTTGAATATATCGAATTGCGATATCATTTACGATGTCCGTCTCCAAGGATGTCATCATGCCCTCGTCGGCTCCCGCTCCCCCTGTGAACGACAATGAGCTCCCCCTCCTTCTGAAGGGCTACAACGACATGCTCGTCCGCACCAACCATTGGACTCCCATCCCCTATGGTTGTGCCCCCCACAAGCGCGATATCAAGTCCTACATCTCCAGCGGTGTCATCAACCTTGACAAGCCTTCCAACCCTTCCTCCCACGAGGTTGTCGCCTGGCTCAAGCGCATGCTTCGGTACGTCGTGTGTAAAATCGAGAAGAGAGATGGTTGGAAAAAGCGGCTAATGGAAAATATGTTGTAGCGTTGAGAAGACTGGTCACTCCGGTACCCTTGATCCCAAGGTCACTGGCTGCTTGAGTAAGTTGGAGAAAAAAGCCCTGTGCGATTGGATCGGTGGGGGCAAAGTTACTAACATGGTGGGAAAACAGTTGTCTGCGTTGATCGCGCTACTCGTCTCGTCAAGGCCCAGCAGGGCGCTGGTAAGGAGTACGTTTGCGTGATCCGTCTCCACGACAAGGTCCCTGGTGGCGAGGCTGCCTTCGCTCAGGCCCTCGAGACCCTCACTGGTGCTCTTTTCCAGCGGCCCCCTCTTATTTCGGCCGTCAAGCGTCAGCTCCGTATCCGTACCATCCACGAGAGCAAGCTCATTGAGTTCGACAATGACCGCCACCTTGGTGTCTTCTGGGTGTCTTGCGAGGCCGGCACCTACATCCGTACTCTCTGCGTTCACCTTGGTCTTCTCCTCGGTGTTGGCGCTCACATGCAGGAGCTTCGCCGTGTCCGCTCCGGTGTCATGTCTGAGGACGATGGCAAGCTTGTCACGCTTCACGATGTTCTCGATGCCCAGTGGGCCTACGACAACGGCGGTGACGAAACCCTCCTTCGCAAGGTCATCCACCCCCTGGAGACTCTCTTGTGCACTTACAAGCGTCTCGTTGTTAAGGATACCGCTGTCAACGCCATCTGCTACGGTGCCAAGCTCACGTTGCCCGGTCTGTTGAGATACTCCAAGGACATTGATGTGCACGAGGAGGTTGTTCTCATCACCACCAAGGGTGAGGCTATTGCTATTGGTATTGCGCAGATGAGCACTGTCGAGATGTCGACCTGCGACCACGGCGTCGTCGCCAAGGTCAAGCGCTGCATCATGGAGCGCGACCTTTACCCCCGCCGCTGGGGTCTCGGCCCTACTGCCATTGAGAAGAAGAAGTTGAAGTCCGATGGCAAGCTTGACAAGTATGGCCGCGCCAATGAGAACACCCCCGCTGCCTGGAAGGCCAGCTACCAGGATTACTCTGAGTCCCAGCAGGGCGCTGAGGCTGCCACCCAGGAGGCTGCCGCCCCTCCCACCCCTGTCAAGGCTGCTGAGCCCGCTGCTGCTCCCGCCGCTTCCTCTCCTGTTAGGGAGGAGAAGGAAAAGAAGCGCAAGAGCAAGCACGAGGGCGAGACCGCCGAGGAGAAGGCGGAGCGCAAGAAGGCCAAGAAGGAAAAGAAGGAGAAGAAGTCCAAGAAGGATGCTGAGGATAGCGAGTAATGGATTTTTGAGATGCTCTGATCTTCTTTTTTTCTCTGTCGGTTTGCACACACAACCTCTGGGCGTTTTTATTTGGGGGCTGGTCAAGGGGAAAATCGGAGGGCGTTTTGGGAGTTTTTGTCCTGTCTGATTATCATGGCATACAGCTTGTTGGGGTAGCACGTTATGCATTATACCTGGAGCTTTGCGAGTTTTGTGTCGGGGGTGGCGGTGGATGTCTATATAGCTGTATGTAGTAAGAATGGAGAGTTGTACGATATATTTAGGGTGTGATGGGAATGGTTGTGGCTTTGACATGAGTGATTGTTTGTGGTGTCTTGACAGCATCTCCAACACCTTGAAGTTCTCAACTCCAAGCATAACCATGATTTTGTATGCTCCATGCTGAATATCTTCTTGGAGATTTGCAGCCACATGATTTACGATTGTTGACTATGAATTGAGAATGGCTTCATATACTTTGAATGCGGCTTGACGGAACATCAAACAAACAGCGGGTTTAGCTCAGTTGGGAGAGCGTCAGACTGAAGTCAAAACTTCATTTGTATCGGTTAAAATGATATCCCGAGAAATTGGGTATCAGAAAGACAATCTGAAGGTCGTGTGTTCGATCCACACAAACCGCACTGTTTTCCTTTTGGGCATTTTCACTACCCAAGGCATGTTTGACTTTTTGTCTTTGGGAGGTCTTCAGTCTATATGTTGAGCTCTTTAGCTCAACATGTCAACTTCTGGCTCGGCAACTCTTACCTGCCCGCTGGGATTCGGAAAGAGAGGTCGGGGTTTCATCACGGCATCATGCCGATGGGTCTTTTTGACTTTGGAGGCGTCACAATACTCATGAGGCGTGAGCCGACCGAGCTGTGCAGTTGACGACGGGTGAGCTAGGTTGATTAGGGGGAGGGCAATGGTGTTGAGATCAGCACGAGCTATGGGGTTGTTAGTGGGTTTTTGGTGTAAAGTTTGGATCATGGGGGGGAGGGGGAGTGGTATTCTTGAGCTTGAGGGAAAGGTCATGAAAGTACTATGCTTTCCAGGCTTACAGAGGCTTGATGGCATTTTTTCCAGTGAAGAGGGATTTTCACTGAGCACTGAAGATCCTGCACAATCGATTGGGCGACTACGACACGACAGACGCTTCCTCATCTCAACCGTCCCCATCTGTGCGGTTGCCGAAGAGTACAGCTTCTCACTTTGGTAAGTTGCAGCTCCCTAGCGCGCATATACGCAATCCCCAATACGATTTCGGACAGTAGATACAGTCCAGATTGGGCAAGCAAACAGAAGAAGAACAATGGAAGTTCTTGTCCTTCTGAAAGGACTTTGATCTTATCAAGATACCTTACCTACTTTTCTGGCACCTGGCTTTTCTTGCTTTGACCTCCGATTCTGACTGACAATAATCACAACCCCTTTCCAGCCTCTTTTTTTTTTTTTTTTTTTCTTGACACAGGCATCAAGTGACAAAGACCCTCTGTGCGGCCGCGCAGATTTTTACGAGAGGATAGGGAGAGGGTTTTGTGATGATGTCAATCTTTTGAGAATTTCTCTCTTGTTTCTTGAAACTTTTGGATATTGTTTTCTTTCCTCGCTGTCGGCTTCTGACGATCTTGTCTGATTGCTAGGCCTCCTCTATCGGGAGAGCTGAGAGACGGCTGCTCTGCTTGAACTATAGCCAGCCATCAACCGGTTTGGGTCCGAACTCAACCCTTTTTCGCCACACACCTCTTTTATTAGGTTTCTAGAGGGTAAACAAACAAGAGCATCATGCTCCCCACGCTCGTTACCCTCCTCCTCCTCCTCCACCTCTCGCTTCTCCCCCTCGTCACCGCGACCGCATCCCCGTTATTAAACCGTGATTTTCCCGTAAGTTGAACCCCCTTCCCCTTAAACCCCCTGTTCTTCTATAGGTAGGTAGACCATCCTAACCCCCTCCTAGGACCCCTCCATCCTCCACGACTCCTCAGGAACCTACTACGCCTTCGCCACCTCCCTCCTCACCGGCCCCTCCCCAAAAAACATCCAAGTCGCCTCCGCCCCTTCCCCGTTGGGACCGTGGACCTACCTCGACATCGACCCCCTCCCCAACCCGGGCTCCTGGACCTCGGGCCCCGGCTCTTTGACCTGGGCCCCCTCGGTGGTCCGGCTATCAGACAACTCCTACGTGATGTACTACTCTGGCCAGCTCTCCGGCAACAACAGCGCATACCACTGCATCGGCGCCGCCAAGTCAACCTCCTCCGTCACAGGTCCGTACACACCCCTATCCCAGCCAATCGCTTGTCCCCTTTCCCAAGGCGGGGCGATCGACCCGGCCGGGTTCCTGGACCCCTTGACAGGGAAACGGTATCTGGTTTACAAGGTTGATGGGAACTCCCTCGGGAATGGGGGTTCGTGTGGGAACAGTGTTGCTCCTCAGGTTCCGACCCCGATAGTACTGCAGCCGGTGGCGGATGATGGGATCACTTTCGTTGGGGAGAGGGTCACGATACTGGGATCGGACGGAGGAGGATGGACCGTAGATGGAGGAACCAGAAATTGTGGTTTGTTTGGAGGAGCGGGGGGGTATGTGCTTTTTTATAAAGATCATTATGGGAGCGAAGAGGGGTACTCGGTAAATTATACCCGAAGCGAGGAAGGTAACGGGGGTGTACAAGAGGCAGAATAAAGGGAGTTTTGGTTACTACGGGGGATGGGTTGGGGGTTGTCGCGCCGGGGGGCGCGAAGCGCGGTGGGGACGGTGGATGGGGACGGTGGGGGGAACAGGACGAGTATTGTTTTTCATGGGAACTGTGGGGAGGGGAGGTGTTTGTTCGGGGTTGATGTTAGTATCGGGCTTTCGTGAGGGATACAGGGATATAAGTTTGGGTATGAGGTAAGGAGAGATCTCATGATGGATATGAAAGTACATGGTTGGATGGTGGTTCGAGATGGGGACAGTGCTATAGTAAGCGAGGCGAAGAGATATGGCGGGATGGATATCAAAAGGCGTACATAGATGAATTAATGTGTAATACGATTTTCATACTTGAAGTCGCTTTCTTTGCCATGCTTCAGAGCTTCTTCAAACAATCCATGCACGGCTCAACAAGTGGTAGCAGAGACGAAACGCACAACCCTCCAGATGGGACGAACCAGATCCGCAGACGAGATGGTCGTTTGGTCTCAAGATTGGGTCTCGAGATCTGTGGGTGGTGGCCTATAAAGTGGCCGATATAACGGCCATGCCGCACCTCCATGGCCACATGGGGAGCCGCCCACCACCCCCTGGAAAGGGGAATCCGTTGTGATTGTGCTCTTTACGTGCGTCTTCAGTTACAAGTTGCAAGATGGTGTTTTTGAGACAAGTCATGTTTTCGAAGACTTGGTAATGAAGCTTCAGGAATTGGCATCGTTGTGAGGCACTCGAAGAAGACAAAGATAGAGGCTGTGGTGATGGAAATAGAAGCAGTACCAGAGCTGAGGAGCCCTCGGTTAGTCTGTGCTCTATAGGATCGTCGATGCCCCACGCTGGTACCACCATCCATCTCTTGACTGTCTTAGTTGCTGTGTCTGCGTTCACGGGACGAGATGGACGGGAAGATGGGAAAGAGTCTGTTTGAGGGCGGTAGCTGGATCCCTCGAGGTGAGATCCGAGCGCGAGACTCACAGAAAAAGACAAGAGATCACAGTGACGGGAAGAGCGCTCGCAGCGGGTAAACGGCGCTGTAAAGTCACAGCAGGTATGTGACCCTCCCAGTGTCGTGCAGGCGCAGTTGGTGCAAGAAGCGAATGAGCTTGGGGCAGCGCCGGATGTTCGTTTAAGCTTCCAACGCCCCCATTCCCAAAGGGGATTAGCCCATGATCTTGGTGATCTCCAAGCGCCCGCCAAGACACCCTTTCCCAGATTTCTCACTCTGAACCTGAACCTCGCCGACACTCGGCATGGGCCTGGGCAGTGGGCGAAGCGCTGCGGCCGCAGATATTGACGATTCCAGAATGCCGGGTTTGGGTATTTTCCGATGTGTCTTGAAGACCATCACCGTCACGGTCACTCACCATCACTGTCACCATCACCGCCACGCTGCAGGGCTGGATTGACGAGCCAAGTGCTGGGAAGAGAGGAACACCGACGATGGAAACCATCTCCTTCTGTCAACACACCACCACACACCACTTCTCCTCCATCAGCAGAGCAACGACACAACGGTTTTGGGTTGATGATGGTTTCTAAGAATTGACTGCAGCATGCACATCTCCATTGGCCAATCCGTCCGAGAGCGTTGCTGCCGACCAGACGAGCTCAGGTACGGTCCATCTGCCGACTGTCAGCCCTGATTGGACTGGCTGGCATGGGGACCTGGCCGGGGGTTCACCAGCGGCACATTGACAAGACTATCAGCTCCCATCACACCCTCAATGCAGGTTGGCACACCATCTGAATGCCTCCCCACTTGCCTGTTCTGGCCCCCGTCACGTCCACATTCCCCTTGACGGCGGCTCCAGAATCGATACTTGTACTGGAGTGAATCCACCTCCTCCATGTTCTTGGGTTCTTGTTGCCACTCTCGCTCGCTTGGTCCATCGACAACCACCCTTCTTTCTTCTTCAGTCCGTCCTTTTCATCATATAGTTAATTTACCTAATTCTCCCAGGCTGGATCCTGGTTCTTTACCGCTTTACAATGCTTCTCCTACCGGTTGTTCTCCTTATCCCACAGCTTGTGTCGGCCCTCCAAGTAACACCAAACTCGCCATGCGCCTCGAAATGCCTAGACTCAGACGACCTCGATGCCTCAGATCCCAATTCGTCACACACAAGAAATTCAGATGTTGTTTGCGAGGACAACAAGTTCTCGTCGGCAAAGGGACAAAAGTGGCAGACATGCATGTCATGTCTAGAGACGAGCACCTTTTCGCAAGGGGGGGAGAGCGACACCATGTGGTTCTTGTGTTAGTCATCCCTGATTCTGTATATGGAAGAGCGTTCTCACTAACAGTGTGTCCCAGATAACCTTCGATATGCTACTGCATTGTGCGTTTTTGGGTATCCCAATGGGACAAGTATCGGGCTAGATGTTTGCACCACAACCAAGGCCTGTGGACCATTACGAGACGGCGTCGAACACGGTCTTCTCGACCAAAAGAACATGACGGCGTACTCATACTGCAAAGCCGGCGCAGGAGGTGCCAACGACCTTTCCCATTATGAAGGCTGCTTGTCTTGTGTTGCCCCCCATGGCTCGACAGACTACCTGACCAACTACTTCAAGGCGATGGAGGCCGGATGTGCCCAGCAACCGGCACCGGGTGTGCCTCTTGGCCTCAACGAGACTGTGTTCTCTAACAACCGAATCACCCTTGTCGATCCATCAGCACCCAAGGACGATGGCGACAGCGCGCCGGCCGTTGGCACAACCACCATCATTGGTATCGTGGCTGGAGCGGTGGTGTTGCTTCTAGTTGGCGGAGGATTCGCTTTCGTCTGCCTTCGCAAGAGGAAGAACAAGACCAGACGTGCCAGCGCCGAAGCCGACTTCTACAGCAACTTTGGTGTCGGCGGTCATGGCCACCGTCCCAAGTCATCTATCTCCTTCCAATGCCAGACACACATGATGTCCCCTCGCTTCTGGCCCGGAGCGGAAGAGGGCATCTCCCCTGCCACCGAGCAGAGCCCAACGGACACCCAACTCCAGAGGTCATCTATCTACAAGCCCCCCATGGGCGGCATCGACGCCATCTCTTCCTACCCCACCAAAGAAAACCGTTACAGTGTGCAACAGAAACAACAAGACGATTCCATCGCCACCGCTCCCCACAAGATGGGCATGCCCCTCCACCAAATCACCACCACCCTTCCCCCCGCCTCTCCTCCCCAGGTGTACACGGCCTCCTCCGAAAAAGTCTACTACTCCCCCTCAGACTTCAAGTCCCCCCTATCAGCCGACTCGGTCCGCAGCACCGCTGCTCTTTTACCGGCTATCAAGCCCTACATCCCAGCTGAATACGGCGTCGTTGGTCAAGCGCAGCCCTACCCCCAACCTCAAGTTCCCAGCCCAGCTCCCACCGTCACATCTTTTGGTCAAAGCCCAACGTCTGCCGTGTCAGCTCCAGGAACGGGGATGACGCCGCTGCTGAGGGGCAACCCTTGGTCCGCCGCTCTAGAGAAGCCCCAGCGTCCAGTTATTAATGTACCGCCGCCTCCGCCGCAGCAGAAGAAGGGGAGGGAGAGCGTGATGATGGTTGGGTTGGGGATTGATGCCGGGGCGGTGCCGCCCAAAAGGAAGGGGACGCCGACGCCGACGGGGAGTCCGGTGGAGAGTGTGGAGATCAAGACTGCTTTTAAGGCGCCGCCGAGGAGGTGATTTTTTTTTTTTTGTTCCCGAATATACCTATGAGCATACCATACCCTATTGCACCGCCAGGTGCTTTTCTTTGAATGTATTATTTATGGAATTAAGTGGATGGGTGGGGTGGTGTATGTTAGCGAGCATGGGATATATGGACTAAGTAAGGTATTGGTGTTTTGGGCGTTTGTCTATTTGAGATGTACGCATATCATATCACATCATCTGCCTGTCCACCTATCTACCTTACCTACCTACCTACCAAAGAGGAAAATATAACTTGTATATCACATCTTTCTCTGTTTCATTCTATCAACTTCCTCTCCTCGCTTCACTGTAGCATACCGTCAAAACCACAAATGTCGAAGATATCTACCGCAGCGGGAGGAGGGGGAGGACATGATAGTAAATAAGAGAGCAAAAAAATATAAGCAAAGTCTCCGGTTCTGGCTGGCCTGTAACCTCCTGCTTGCTACGACCACCACAACCCTGCTTTTTTTCACCACGCCCTTGTGACATTCGTTCCATTTACTGAGATGAAGCTACTTCGCTGGGGAAGTGGGAGTCGGGGGAGGTATATATTGAGTGGGTGTTTGCTTATGAGTCGGTTAGGTAGATAACTGGTGGGTGGGTGGGTGTTTCGGTGTTTGACTTTTTGTTTGTGTGGGCTGGGTTAGGCTGATAATAAGAGTAGGTAGAACTGTAGCATCGATGGCGCGATATACCACGTCGGATATTTTGTAGGTGGACAGACAGCCATCTAGGCATTGTCACGTCTTTCTTCACAGAGACCTGGTAATCATGTAAATCAGCGAAACTTTTTATTGAGCCCTCGCTACCTGAGTAGGAAAATAGGACGGAACCATGGGTGAGACGTCTCATAAGAGTCCCCTAATACCCATCCGAAATCAGCTTCCTCCCCTTCTTCACCGTGTCAAATGAGGCGCATAACCATCCAAACTCCAGCTTGAAGACTCCTCTCCGGCTCCCTTCCATCATTTTTGATGCCAGAAGTCCTCAAAGCAGACCCCTTTGATAGCCATGTTGATGATCCCCAGCGCCTTTTCCTCTTGTCTAAACACCATTTTCCTCCTGTTCCGAGACCATTTCCCTCCCACTTGAGACCCTTCCCCCCCTCAAGTAAGCCTCGTCCAGGTCAAACTCATTATCTCCTGAAATGAAGTCCTCAAATTCGAGATCCACCAGCAACGCTTGAACTCCAATTGCGTCTCCAGATCTCTCCCACCGGTCGGCGGGCATAGGACCCGGCTCTTTCATGCACTCCTTGAAAGCATAGATGCTTGCCACACCAGCATCAAGAAACTCGAGGACTTCGGGAAACAGTCTCAGGGTCTTCTCCAGATGCATAACACTCCGGCAGCCCCTTTCAATCTCCTGTAATGCCTGGCTGAGACAGACGAGCGGATAATGATCAGTGTCGGTAAGATAGGCTGTAATGCGCGCCTTCAGCGCTGTGAAAGCCTGACTAGCCTTGACTTGTGTGGTGATGCTGGCTACGGCGTCTGCGAACTCCTTCTTCATCCAACCACTCTTTTGCCCCGACCTATTGATCGTCAGCAAGCCATCATGGTCAATGCAGAGATCCTCTATCGCGAAGGTCTTTTTGATGTGCTTATGGAGACCGATCTGTTGCAGGGAGCGAATAGATCCATGCATGTTCAATGCCACCTGCGCAGCTGTGCACTTGCCGCCGCATCGACGTTGGCTGACGAGGGGGCGCCTCGTTCAAATCTTCAAAAATCTTCAGCAACTTGGAACTATGTGCCAAAGAGCGAATGCTGTCCTGCCGTGACCTGGTTACTTTATTGAACAACCACATCCAGTCGGTGTTGGAATCGATTTCGACGAAGTCGTCCGGCTGAGGGTTCATGATGGTCGACATCTCCTTGGGGTCGAAGATGATATTCGAGAGCCGAGAAATTCGCTGAAACATGGACAGGAAAGATAGTTGAAGGCGCAAGTAAGTGAGGTCGAGCCGTCTGAAGATAGCTCGAAGGCGTTCAGTGATTGATTGAAGGCCTCAAGTAACTGGTTGAAGGTATCAAGAGACTCCGTTCAGAAGGGGTAGAGGACGAAGTTGTTGGGTGGAAGAAGAAGACATCCAAAATCCTCAAGCAGGAAAAGAAGGGGGCATTCCTACCTGTCCCTCCACCTCTCTGCCGAAGCTTCTCCCCTCTCAACAAGGCAGGAGCACCCTTCGGCAAACGTCACCAGATCCTTCTCTAGAGGTCCTCATCTCTACCGTAGGCTTCCAATCTTGCGGTTCACCTGAACTTTGACCCCCAAGAGATCTCGATTAGCTACAAGAGCGCAGATAATCTAACAGATAAGATATTGGGTGACACTGTGTAGAGCAGAGATGACAATGGAATCTTCTGCTGTGGCTTGACCCACGACACTGAACTGGCCCGATTGATAGCTACAACCAGCCTCTCCAATCGCTATCTTCCACAGACACAAGCTCCAAACACAGCAGGGGGCCCTACTCTTCATTACCCCTTTCGAAATCAGCGCACAACCCATCCCCAAGCCTCATAGGAAGCCCTCTCTGCTATCAACCCTGCCATAACCGTCCGACTCCCCTAATTCCCCAGCTCGAAGACAGAATGCCCAGATGCGCCCGTCATACCGGAGCATCCCACTGATCAGCGCAAAACGAAAACTCGCCATTCAAAGAAGCGACGTGACCGATGTGAATGTGGTAGTTCCAGAGCGAACGATTCACCATTGCCAGCAGCCTCTCCGGATCCTGCAGTAGCAACTCATCCCAGTCCTCTTCCGCGCGGCTCTCAATCTCGGCTGTCTGCTTTGAATCGTGTCCAGTGGTCCATGGTCAGCGAACCTGGCCCCTCGAGCCCAAGCGTGACAGCAGAAACGATGGCTGCATCAGACTCGAGCTGCTTGAGCGCTTTCGCACACATATCCCAAGTATTGTGCAGCTGTTCGAGAGTCGGGAATTCCCTAGTCTCTCCTGAACGCTCGTACTGATTGACATCTTCAGCCAAATCCTTCGCACATTCGATATTATTGTCGAGGACCCCAAGATTCGCAATAGAGCTGTATCCGACCAAGAGTTTTCCGCAGCTCAAGGAACGCAGTGTGATGAGAGGACTTTGCTCTGAACTTCTGTGAAAGCCTCCTGGATGTTGATCTTGACGTGTCTTTGGGAAAGCTCGACGGACCAGAGCGACTCAGGATCAAGATCAACGAGCATCTCAAGTAAATTCCCTGACCGGCTCGTCCTCACGGCGTCGCTTGCGGGAAGATGAAGACGCAGTCGTGGTCTGGTTGTCCGAGGAGTTACCGGAGGTGGGTTGATCACCTAGAGACACGCCTTGATCGGATCTAGCCATGACGAAGGCCGAATGACTGCCCAAGGGAGGAGAAGTGGTTGTTTAGAGGAAGAAGAATCAGAGGCCTGTAGCAAAGAAGAAGAGAGTACTTATACCTGACCCTGCCCTCTCAAGCAGGCAAGAGCAGGCAAAGAGCCACCTCCAACGCCCTACGTCAACCTCAACCTCCCCGAGATGCCAGATCTATCTGTAGGCAGCCAGATAGGTATCATACTAGAATCTCCCGCTGACCTCCTGTACGACGTGATTGCACATACCTACAAGACGTGACATCTATCTGGCATGGCAGCACACATCTTGCTCATGTCCGAGCTGTCAAGGTCGCCGCAAAACAAACCACACAGCAACCATATACAGCTTGATAAACCTCATAATAAGACTCGGTAAACATCACACCCCAAAGGCGCCCTAGCCTGATAACCCTGGGCAGGTGGTCGTCTTATCATCCGACCATTTTCCCCCATCAATTTCAAAATAAAATCTCACAGGGTCACCATCGTGAACCAACATGTAAAACCAAAAACCCATGAAATTCTACTCGAGTTTCCACAAGACACCTGTCTGGAACACTTATGAAAATCAAACCTCAAATATCTCCCCCACCCCCACCCCCTCCCCCCCTCCCCTTCGATTCTCCACCAAATCCAACCTCCACCCCTCCCAATTCTTCAACCCCCTCTTGATCTCCTTGATCCTCTCCAACCTCTTCCTCCCCTCCTCCTCCTGCGCCCGCCTAAACGCCTCCTCATCAAACTCCAGTTCATCATCATCATCGTCCAAAAACCCATCATCCTGATGTCCGTGTCCGTGATGATGCCCATGATGTTGATGGCCACCACCAGTCAGAGCACTCAACCCGGCTACTAATCAACTGCCCAAACCCCAG